TGGATTCAGCCTCAAGCAGTTTTGAGTCCTTTGGAAGAACGGTCCTTCAGAAAGACAAGAATTCCGCTCTACCTTTCTCCTCTGTTTCAAATGCTGACCCTATTGGTGCATCTTTATCATAGTTCCTCCTTTACTACCAGGAATTTCATGTTGCTGTTTCCCTATTGTCTGGAACAACGTGTTAACTAGTACAGAGATGGTGAGACTTTTACCATCAGTGGGGCATCAGTCTCCAATTGTTTGTATCTGTAGTGGTAATTAGTTACACTACCTTACCAGAATTCATACCTCATTTATCTTACACTTAATGATAAATGTCTAGAGGTAGGTGCCAATGCTATATCTGTGGTAACACAAAAAATTCTTCCTTTAGGAATCCTAATTGGTCTGTGTTGAAAAGTTCTTCCTGGACTAACTAGAACTCTGAGGTAAACGAAGAAACTGTAAATATATAAAATTTTTAAATAAAAAATTTTGAAACCAGATTCAACAGTAATGTTTTAATGATAACATCCAAGACAACTGGTAATAAAACCACTTGCATAGTGGTTGAACATCGAAGATATAGAGAGAGAAGAAAGGAGAAGGCAAAATAAAAGAGAAGGAAGAAGAGTGAGTATTTGGGAAGTTGGGTTGGAAATAGAGGTTACAGGGTTACTGAACTATTGTCTCATCCTGGTCACGTGAGAACAAGTAAAACGGCTCAGGGGCAGCACACTCAGACGACTTTGAGGTACACGCTTTACTGAACGTGCCAACCTCTTGTTACGGTCAGAGGGAGCTTAAAGAAAAGGTCCTGGGCTTAAATAAAATGGTTCCATTAAATTAACCTGTGGGGGAAAATCTATTGTTCTACCATAACATCTAAGCTTATATCTACTTTCGGGTTATTCCCTAAGACCTAGAGTCTTGAAGGAGAATTTTAAAGATCACCTTCACTTTCAGCAGTATGTGAGCTCCTGAGAAAAAATGTAGAAATATTTCTTTTTTCATACTGAATATTCCTTGAAATACTAGCAAGGAATTCACTACTTGAAGGAACCCAGTGGTGAATTCTGTGATGATAATTTTTCTGTCCAGAAAATTTAGATTTTTGCTAATTCCTTAAAGTGGGATATTCCTATTTTATATCTTCTCTCTTGTCTTCTATCTAACCTTCTTTTGTGAGTTTTCTCCTTGTCCCTTCTGGTCAGAGAGGCCCAAGTCTGCTGCTGAGCCAATGTAGCTACAAGGCACAGCATTTCAAACTCTACAAGCCCCAGGGCCAGTGTATGGGAAGCTGGAAAGTTTGCCTAGAAAATATGATTTGGAAGACTGCTGTTTGGCCCTGGTTTATGGAAATCAACCTCACTGCTTTCACACCACACCACAGATAAGGTCCCTGGGCTGCTGGTGGCTACAGTGTCCTGTCTTTGGATTACTTGGCATCATGGGGCATCTTCAACTCTGATATTTTCATTCAATGGGGCTCTCCTTCTCCTGAGTTGAGGCCCACTGAATGTTTTATGCATCCACTATTGGGAAAAAAAGTGCTTCCCACTCTTAGTGAACCACTGGCATAGGTTTTGAGCAGGGCTTCAAACCTGTTTGAACTGGTTCAGTCACAACTCAGGAAGCGAAATTGAAACAGACCTGAATTTTTACAGTTTGGGTGCTCCAGAACGATCACCAGAACAGGAAAAATTACAGACCAAAGCCCTGGAATGGGAGACTCAGAAGAGATGTAGTGAGCCCTTTCAAGGATCCTGATGTGTGAGATTTGATTATTGCCAGAACTGTGGAGCACAACACACATTCAAAGTGGCGCAATCGGCCACCATCTTTGAGTGGGGCACTTTTTTTTCTGGCTCTGCTCAAAATCCGACAGGCAAGAGATTTGGTTACTATGCAACGTGCAAGTTACCCTTGTTTTCTTAGAGAAAGATTAGGTTTCTAGCAGGGCTTCAACCTATAATTTTTCCTGTTCTGGTTACCATTCCAGTTCACCAAAATTTTAAAAATTCAGGTCTGTCCCAGTTTTGCTTCCTTAGGCATAACAGAGCCAGGAAGAAGCAGTTCAAAGCCCTGGTTCTGAGCTTTGTCAGTGTTGATGCTGTGGACTGATGATGTCCACGGCTGTCTTTCCTCTCCCATGGCTTGATCCCTCACTTTATTTGGGTCTTAATGCAAATGACTTTTCCTCACAACGACCTTCTCCAACCATCAAATCCAAAAAAATGACACCAACCTCAAGCTTCCATAAACCTTCCCAGAACATAATCCGCCATGCCTGTGTCACATACAGACACATCTACAAGGAATAATGTCCAGATACATGCCAGACACCTTAACTTTGATCTGAACATTCATCATAAACTGAATACTCATGGCAAAGAAAAAAGAAGTCAGTCTTTTATTATTTGCTAAACAATAAGAAACATATAGACTTACAAGTTTACGAAAATTTTAAAAAATAGATACTAACAAAAAAGATGCACGGTTGGGAGGGAAGAGTAACAACTAGTAGAGTTTTTCTGCAGAGCAATCTAGCAATATGCATCAAAAGCCTTAAAAATGTTTCTATTGTTTGACTTCATGATTCTAATTCTAGGATTTGTCCCATGGAAGTAATCAAGAGATATAGACAGGATGTTCACCACAACATTATTTATAATAATAAAAAATAGCAGAGTATCTTGCAGCCATTAAAAATGTTTTAGAGTATTTAGCAGCAGGAAAATGCTCAAGATGGGGAAAGGGATTAAATAACAGTATATAATATTGTTCAGATTTTCTTTAACAGTCTTTGTAAATTTGTGTACAGAAAAAGAGATCAGAAAGCTATTCCAAAACACAAAATAGCAATAAACATTATCTCCAAGTACAGTTATAAGTGATTGTCTTTTTCATACTTTTCTCTATTTTCTAAATGTTCTAAGTAAACATGCAGTATTTTCATAATTAATTAATAAAGTTGAGTTAAAAAGCCCATCCCCTACATTTCTATCCTCAAACGCTGCTTTATTGTTATAGTAATAGCACTTACTACTACCTGAAAGTACATTATATATATAATTATTTACTTGTCATAGTCTGTTTCCTAGAATATAAGTTCCTTGAGGGCAAGGGCTTTATCTTTTTCACTGCCTAAACAGTCTCAGGCACTTAATAGGTGCTTCATAAATACATGAGTGAGACAGAATGAGCCAATGAATGCATGGATGAACGAATGAAAGAACAAAAATCAATCATCCTCCTGTTAAGACAGTGGGCATGCCCTTGTCTGGGCTCCTATCCCAGACCCTAACGGTAGCTACCTTCTTCCTCCCATCTGTAACCTGTCCAGGATTGGAGAGCTTTCTCTAGGTTAAGGATCATCATAACAAAATAAAGCGTGAAATACGTCCAGAGGAGAGCTAACAGAGTGGGGAGTAGTCTAGAAACCATGTCACTTAGGGACAGCTGAAGGGACTGAGAACATGAAAGAGAAGACTTAAAGGGGAGAAGAAATGGATGTTGTAGCAGTCTCCAAATACTGGAAGTGTAGTCAGGTGGAACCATACATTTATTCAATAAACATCCAATGAGCACTTTCACGTGCCAGGGACTGAGGTAAGCAGTAAGAGTATTAAAAGAACAGGATTAGATTCCATCTGTTTAGCTCCAGAAGGATCAGAAGGATGAGGATCAATGAGAAGTTTGGAAAGACAAATTTCAATGCGTCATAAGGAAGAGAGCGAAAATCAACATTTCATAAAGCACATGGATGTTCCTCTATATATGAAAAGGATTCTGGACCAAATACACTTAGGAAATCTTGAGCTAAACATTAGATTTTTTTAAGACTACTACACAGCACTTCTTAGAGTCTTTAATATATTGTATACTATGACTCTCCTAAAGAGCGATATGATTCCTTTACCCAAAACTTTTGCACTGCAGGACACCGTATTCCAGGTCTAGAATTCCATGGGACGAGCATTAGGAAAAGTTACCCTAGCTTCATAATAAGAATATCCACCTTTGGGACCAAAAAAAAAAAACCAAACCTGTTGCCATCAAGTCGATTCTGACTCATAGCAACCCTATAGGACAGAGTAGAACTGCCCCATAGACTTCCCAAGGAGTGCCTGGCAGATTCAAACTACCGACCCTTTGGTTAGCAGCTGTAGCACTTAACTACTACGCCACCAGGGTTTCCACCTTTGGGACAGGTGGTCTGAAATAATGGATTCAGATGGGCATGGTGAGACATACCTTGACACCACATAAAACAGATGGCCCAAGTTTTGTTCTGAATCATTCACATCAATCCAGTCCTATCACATCACCCTTGTCTCACAACTTTCCCAGTTGCCAGTCTTGGTATTCTTCTTTCTCTTGTTCCATCATTGCCTTGAACTTGGCCTTAATGAACCGTGTCTTGTATTTCTGCTTCTGACTTGGGCTCTGTGTAGCAATGATTCTGGTTCCTCCCCTAATTTGCCTGGGGACGCCCTGGGAATAGTTCCTCCTGGTTCAACTCTTCTATCCATCGCACCTTACCTAGAGGGGTGAGCAGGTTCTTATCCAGGCAGACAAGGAATGAGCAGATTCTCATGTCAGGGATGTCATAAATGGTGACAGTTTGGACTTTGTGATGCTGAAAATTCCTTCCAGCTCTTACTTTCAGCTACCTCCTTGACAGGTCTGAGGTTCTGTAACGTCCCTATTTCCAGACATAATTTTAAACACTTTTGGTACCTGGGAAGCCAGCTATTTCCCTGATTGGCTGCATCATCTTACCGGCACTCATATGGAACGAAGATGCTCTCCCACTCAATTGGGAAATCTTTCACACAATGAGCCACTCATCCACAAAAAGCCACTCATCCAAGGTTGCTGGGCCATGTCCTACCTTCCAGCCATAGGAATAAAAACCCATAATGACTTTGAAGGCTTGTGTTAAATTCCTGTAGGTAGAGAAACTATTGTGATTTAAAGTATAGCCCTCAAAAACCCTCCCATTTTTGTTTTCTTACCTTGTAACTTGGGTTCTCATTCCAAAATCCAGTGACCTCATTGATTGCAGCACTTCAATACAGCCCATGTACTGGAACAAGAGAAAAAAAAAAGAAGAAGTGGGAAAAAATAGCACAAAGATGTCTCTTAACTTCATTGTGACTTCCTGGGAAACATCTTAAATCAGCTTCTGACATCAAGTTACATTTGCAGACACAGTTTGTCATTGGCATTTCTGACCATTAATGGGACACATGCCTTAAACTTTAGTTCATTTATAACACACCTGCTAAATGCAAACTGTGATATCAGGAATTCAGGAGTAACAAGGATGAATGCGACTTCAGTGGCTCAGAGTCTGATTGAAAGTGATCTGGACTCTAAAGCCAGACCCTGAGAAAATGGGGTTCCAATTAGAATTGCTTTGAGGGTTAAAGGATTTCACACATATACAGCACTCAGAACACTGTCTGGCACACACAGGTGCTCACATATTAGAGGAAGTAAAACTAAATGTGAAAGAAATAATACAGCTCCTGCCCTTGAAGAACATCAAATCTTCTAAGATGATAAAGCAAGTATGTAAATGTATATAATACAGGATTTAATAATATAAGCATTCTGCAAGTCATGTATTAAAAGGGTTAACGGGTGGGGGGAGTCATGTCCATCAGGGATTAGTGAATTTAGCTTGAACACAGAATGTTGGAAAGAGAATTGGGATTTATAAAGGGAAAAGATGGTTTGTAACTAATGTCGCAGCAGTGGGGAACCATGTAAGGTTGCTGGTAAGAGAGTAATGTGATTAAATCTATGGTTTTGGAGGTGTAAGTCAGTAGCAATAGGAAGGTGGGCTAATAGTAGGGGGACAAGTTAGGACACTCCTGTAGAGCAAGAAGTAATGGAGAAATTGATGGTGGGGATGGTTGTACAACACTGTGGATGTAATTAACGTCACTGAACTGTACACTTAAAATGATTAAAATGGCAAATTTTATGTTATATATATTTTACCACAATAAAAAAAGGAAGTAATGAAAGCCCACACTGAGGAGGGAATGGTGGCAATAGGAAGGAGGGGACAGATTCAAGTGACATTACGGAAATAGATACTACATGATTCGGCAATTGATTTGATGTAGAGAGTAAGAGAGAAGGATGAGTCAGGGATGACTCACAAGGTTCCAGCCAGGGTAGCCAAGAGAACAGCAATGCCATTAACAGAAACCGGAAAGCCAGGAGAGGGGAAGCTGATGACTTGGTTTGGGACCCATTGACTGTAAGACACTGGTGGGTATCCAGGAAACAAGCTGGCAGTTGAAAACTGGATTCTGGAATAGTGAAGAGGAATGAAACCTAAGGAGGCTGACGTTGTAGTCTTCTGTGGAGCTCTGCGAGGTAAGGCCGTGACAGTAAATCCTCTTAGCAGAGTCTTAGTGAACGAGGGAGCGTGCTTCTCAGAGAATCGCCTTGGCAATATTACGAGAGCCAAGTGGTCTGAGTGAAAGTGTCCTGTGGCTCCTTGGGTATGATAGGCTTCCTGCTGAGCCTTCCTTTGGAAGCCTTCCAGTCCTCTCTGCTTGGAAATGGCAAAAGTATGGTGGCTCCTGGGGTCCCCTCCACAGACACCTCTTCTAATATTCCTGAGCAAATTCTGTAGACTTAGCCTCATAAGAGCAGCTCAGCTGCCAGTGCCTAGTGTTGGAGAAAGCACGCTGACTCCATCACCCAGTGATTTGCAGCCAGACTCATGTTCATCATACTCCTCCTCGTGTCTCTAGTATTGACACAGAAAAGTCTGGATGTTTTACTCTGTCCCAATCACACTTAACTTTCCAAGGCTACTACAGGGAAGTAAGTGTTGTCTAGAGATTTCTGTGCAGTAAATCATAAGCTAGATTTTATTTAACGAGTACTTTAAGCAAGCCCAGAATCCCTGGGTGGTGCAAACAGTTAATACACTTGACTACTAACCGAAAGGTTAGAGGTTCTGATCCACCCGTACGCACATCCTAAGAAAGATCTGGCAATCTACTTCCGAAAAATCAGTCATTGAAAACCCTATGGAGCACAGTTATATTCTGACATATGGGGTTCCCGTAAGTCAGAATCAACTTGGCAGCAGCTGATGGTGGCTTAGCAAGCCCATCTCAGAACTGCCGTGAAAGGAGATTCCAAGGGCACAAGCTCCATGTCAAGGTTGACTCTAGGTGGATTAAAACATTGTTTTCATATCCTCACTGGCTGCTCTGACTTTTCCTGGCATTCAGTGTCTTCTTCTGCTCCAGAACTTAGTTCTTGCTTCCCTATTTCCTGCATCTGTCACTCTGGAAAGAGTGAACTCCCCATGCAGATTGGGGGACATATTTGGTTATATGTCCAATCCCCCCAGGAGGCCTTCTCTGTACAGAGGGGGGTGTCATCTTTCCCTTCAGCTGTAAGTTACCAATTTTAGATAAGGAAATACTAACCAGCCTATCAATGTATCTTTTTTGAAACTGTGACCAGCCACTCACATTTATCACACTCTTCCAGAGTGATTTTTCAAAAATGCAAATCATATCATGTTACTCCACTGCATGGAGTTCTTAGCATTTATTATCAAAACAAACTCATTCTTCAGACCCTTGTTGCTGTGTCACTCTCCTTACTATTCCTCAAATACCCCAAACTCTTTCCAAGCTCAAAACTCTTGCACTTGCTGTTCCCTCTGCCTCACTCTTCCTCATTGCCCTGCAGGACTGACTCATTCTCATCCTTCAGGTTTAAGTTGAGATGTCTCCTCGGAGGCCCCTCCTGTCAACTTTCATCACATCCCTATCTGTCACCCTTATGTCACTGACTGCTGTCAGGATAATCAGGATTACTTGTTAATTTGCTTGTTTCTTCTCTGTCTTCCTTCCCCTGGCTGTGAGCACCACGCAAGTGAGAACCTTGATCACCACTGTACTCCTAGCACCTGGGACTGTGCTGGGCACGTGGTAGGTGCCCAACAAGTACCAGCTGAAAGAATGAATGAAGCATCTATCGCTCAACTCCAACTGCACCTTTAAAATGAGCAGAGAGAGGGAGAAGAGACTGAGCAAGTGAAGGTTTGGTTTCTCCATCGTGGAGAATAAATGAGGAGTACAGGAGACCTCAGGACTCTCTCAGAAAGAGATGCAGGAACTATAGGCTAGGATGATACCTTTGAAGTTTCTGGACTTCTTTGTAATTTGCTCCATGTTTGTTATTTCTGTTATGCCCCGTCTTAGAGACTGGCAACAAACAACCTAAAACAGAGGAGGTTTTGTAGTGAAGTGGGAAGCTGTGGAGACTGTGCACTATTCGTTAAAAAGTCTAGGGGCAGGGCGGGGTGGGGGTGGGGAGAAAACCCTGAATGATAGGATCTGTGGTGGGAACTTTAAAAATGAAAGATAGTAAGCTGCATGTCTGAACAAGTAGGGGGAGAAAGGCAAAGGGAGGCAGCTGGAACTGAGATACTCCGCGGCTGATGAGATTCTAAAACCTGTGTGAAGGAGAGTGTCAAGGTGGGGGCGATTCTTAGCCCAGTGAAATGAATCCCCAGTGGTGCGATTTAGGTCATCAATGAGCACAGGGATTTTTAGGTGGGGCAGTGCGAGAGGGACTCTTTCAAGGTTTTGTTCTCAATCACAGTTCATGGCGATAACCTCCTCATCTGCTTCCCTCTACGGCAGCCCAGGCATTGCTGCCTTTCTCTTCATTTTAACCTCCGTTTTGCTTCACACAGTTGTCAGTCAACAAGGGCACAGACGACACTTGCTGCCAGCCTCACTGTGATGCAACGGAAGGTTCTGAAGAAACGTGAGTCATGGCCTAAGGTGATTACGACAATGAATACATTTCCCTTCCACCATGGGCATGTGTTGAGGAAGCCACTGTAAACAACGTGAAGGGAAGTACTTGGTGCCCAATTTTTGCCACAAATTACTCCAAAGACTGGAATGGAATTGGTCTCCCCAATGACTCACACAAGCTCATTTCACGTAGAAACCATTCCTGTGAGGAAGCAGGGAGCAGCTGGTGCATTAAAATAACCTGTCCACTTCTTTGTTTAGGTATCTGATGAGTACATAAGCAGACAGTGGCTGAATGTCAAGGCCTGGGGAAGGAGAAGTTTGGTATAAACTGGGGACGACAATACATCTCATTCATCTATTAAATCCAGAGCTGCATAAGACATGGTCTCTGTTCTCAAGAAACTCAGCCCAGTAAGGATTGAACAGCCATGGAAAGAGATGATCTGTCTTTTCTTTCCGTGAAGCTAGTCATTGTCATTAACTCCATTTAATAGATGAGGAAATTAAAGCCTATTTAAGGGAAGTGCCTATCTCGGTTTCATTTATTCAGTGAGACTGAATCAGGGTGTGTTCTCGGATTCTAGTCCATTGCTGGGACCGTGTATGTAACCCTTGTATAACAGAAAAAGCAGAAAGAGAAGGAGTTATTCAGCTGACTCCCACTGACCTTTCCTTTTGTCTACCCAAGAAGGTAACACAGTGACAAGACTGTGGGCCACAATGGTAACCAAAAAAAACAAAATCATTGCTGTCAAGTTGATTCTGACTCATAGCAACCCTATTCAGGACAGAGTAGAACTGCCCCATAGGGTTTCCAAGGAGCAGCTGGTGGATCTGTGCTGTCGACCGTTGGTTAGCAGCTAACCTCTTAACCAGTGTGCCACCAGGGCTCCACAATGGTAACAGCAGATGTGAACTGAAGCTGCTCTGGAACCACAGGACATGGCATGTGAAGCAGAAGACACTCCCTAATTCCGGGCCCTGAAACAAAGAGAGGGCACTAAGGACCTTTATTTAGAGGCATGCTGGGTTGGTGAGGAAGTGGCAGGGCTCAGCAGTGCTCAGACAGCCTTCCCATTCAGCACCCAGAAGATGACTTACCTAAGTCCCAGGCTCCCTCTCCCTTCATGCCCCAAGGAGTAATCATGTTTTTGTACCGTCTGAGCTTCTATCACTAGCTCCCAGGGAAAGGGCAACTGTCTATTCATATCCGTGTTTATTCTGGGTTCTGCATTCCAGACAAGAAAATACTGAGTTTTCAGAGAGAAGG